CCCCCAAAACCCCAAAACCCCGCTAGACATTGATTATTATAAAAGGAGTCAAATAAAATTAAAACTTTTATTTTAATGAAAGGAAAAGAGCTTAATCTGTCGCCGGAATTGTAATAGTTACACTAGAAAAATTTGAAATAAATTGAAAAAATATATCAAAAAGTTGCTGATCCTAGTAATTTTACTACCATAATCATAATCTAGGTGGAAATGGATTCAATGATGAAGGTGAAACCTTTGCAAGTCAACTAGGAATAAAGTTTCAGGATGTATAGCAAAAAACAATAGAAGATTTTAAAGCTGGTGCTGCCTCAGAGGAAATCGCATAAATTAGGCTTGATCACTATATGCAAAAGAGAGCTAGTAATACTTCACCAAATTAAAATTTTGTTAATAGAAAAACTTGTGAAGATACTCAGTTTGATAAAGAAATAGCAGGCTTCTCCATATCAATAAAATGGCCAAAGCCCTATCATAAACCAGAAAGATGATTTGTTCTAATCATACTTAGCGAGCAATATAATGCATTCCAAAGGAAATTCAACTTTCATCTCTATTAGCTCAAATCACTATTAGTCTCCAAATAGAACCTTTTTCAGTCAAAAAGGCCCTTCTACCTCACATAAAAAATATGATTTGGCAAGTATAAACGCTGCATCAAGAAGTATGAAGCCAGGTACAAATCATGTAAATTTGAAGACAAATCTTTTGATGAATGAAGATAGTAACAATGGAAAAGACAGTGGAAAATCAAATGCTATTATTAATCGGGCTGCTTTAAATAAAACTGAATAGGGTTAGAAAGTAGCTTTCTTGTCTTAGCCATCAAATGCTATTGGAAAAGTTAATATAAGATCTAATTTCATAAACTCATATGACATTAGAAGACATAACATAAATCGTAGTTAATCTCCTGTTTTGATAGATAATTCAATACACGCATAGCAGATGCCTCATCTGGATTCAAATAAGTCTGCAATCAAGATTGGAAATTTAAGCTTCAATGAATCTTCTTTGGCAAAATATAGATACTAGGCCAAAAACAGTGCTGAAAGAGATACAGCTGTGAGATTCATGAAAGCTAGAGAGTAAGCTGAATAAGAGGCTAAAAGACATTTAGAAAAACTAAATGACCTAATGAAAAAAAGGCAAGTAAAAGAAAAGAAAATGGAGGAAATTTTAAGGGAAAATTCTCAAGAAAGATTAATGCGTTTGGACTAAATGAGTAGGAAGAGAATTATCGCAAAAGATAGAGTAGAAAAAGATAAGAAAGATTAAGAGTAAAAGTCTATGAAGTTTTTTAATAGCACTCTAAAACAAATAGAAGATAGATTAATGAGGTAAAAATCTGTAGAAAAAGAAAGAGCATAAAATGATTTTTTGAAATAAGAAAATTCAAGGATGAGTGCAATGAGACATTAGACCTCATATATAGGTTATACTGCAAGAACTAATTAAAATGATGACGAGTTAAATGAACAGCTAAGATCTTTAGATGACAAGCTTAATAAAGGGGTTTAAAGATCATAAATGTTAAAGCAATAAATATCTACTAGAGCGGCGCAAGTCCATTAAAAAATAATTGATAAAAACTTAAAGTAAGTTTAGGAATAGCACTTTAATGAAAAATGGTCTTCCTACTTGATGAAAAGGAATAAAGTAGAATAGAAACTTGGAGAGCAAAGAAAGTATATGGATGAAAAATGGTAATATCAGCATCAATAGAATTAAGTTAAGTAAGAAAAGAGTGTTTAGATTAAAAAGGATTAAGAGAAAAGTTTTGAGCAAAAGTTTAAACAATATCAAAGAAAATTCTTGTCAAGTGAAAAGCAGATAAAATAAAATTAGGAGAAACTGAGACTAGAAAAACTCAAGAAAGAGGAAATATGGCATCTAAAAAGACAAGACTAGCTTGATAATCTTGAGGAATAAAAGATGCTAAGGGAATAGGAAAGAATTAAATTATAAACTAAGCATCACTGGATGAATTTCTAATCTCAAAGTATAAAGGAAATGAATAGGTAGAATGATGAAGCAAGGTTGAAGTAAGAGATGGAAAGAAGAAATTACATCATGAGTAAGAAAAAAGCAAGACCTTATGACGAAATGAAAGACATAGTACTTGCTGATGCTGCAATTACCCCAGACATTAAGAAGTTTCATATTAAGACTGTTCATGCTAATATGTAAAGCAATATATGATTTAAACTTTTAAGATATATTTCAAGTTTTGATGTTAACGGGGTTTTGGGGTTTTGGGGTTAGA